TCGGAGATGGTATTAAAGTAGCTCAGTTTAAATGTATTGTATGAATTGCCCTTACTATGGAATAAAAAATACGGGTAGCTATTGCTCATTGTGAATGTTAATGCATTAACTAAGGTTAACTAATGAGGTCTTATTGTAAAGTGATACCTATTGGTCTTTATAGTTCTTTTGCACTTTAATCTGTGTAAAACTTTTAGCTTTATACATTTTTCTGTATTGCTTTATTGCATTTAAATGTTCAGTTATTTTTGTTATAAGAAAAAAGTTATTAAACCTGTATATAAATACTGTATTATGACAGCACTTTTTTTTAAACTAAATTTCAATACCGTGATAATACCGCATACCGTGATAAAAGCATTAGCAATTAATCGCAACATGAAAATTTGATACCGGCATATCCCTAGTTCACCGTAAAGACGAACTCTGATTTGGCTGGCTCTTCAGGTTGCTCTTATTTGGTTCATTGCATTTGAGGACAGCTTTTGAATCATTCCAGTGACTTGAATCTTTTTTTATCTGTTCACTACAAAGATTCATTCAAGTTGATTCACTGATTTGTCAGTGGCCTTTTCTGCAGGTTGCACTTATTCAGTCATTATTTTTGACATTTTTTGATTCAATCGAGTGACTTAAATAATTTTGAATCTGTTCACCCGAAAGATTCATTTTAATTTCATTTGAACCCTGTCTGCAGGTTACTCTTATTCGGTTCATTTTGAATAACATAATTTGATTCAAACAAGTGACTTGAATCCATTGAACCTGTTCACCAAAAAGATTCATTCAGATTCGTTCAGTGATTTGTCAATGGTCCTTTCTGCGATTGCATCGTTACACCCAAGTTGTGTGTGTGTGTGATATTATTATTATTATACGAATTCTACTAATGAGAACCATATAAAAACGCACTAAGGATTAATGAGCTACTGGATTCATGAATATTAATCAGGTTGTGTGCGTTCAAAATGTGCATGTCTGCAGATCTAGAGTGTTTAAACATCATACTGAGTTTACCACACAAATAATGACATAGATCTGTCAGTTTTTGCCCTTCCATCTTGTCAACTGCTCAGCTTGACTTCATCATGCTGTAGAAAAATAAAGTAATAGTCTAAACAAATTTGTTATGAGTCTCAATAGCATCCTTGTGTCACTTTAATTGTCTGTGGTCATCAGTCAATTTTACACATTGGTAATTCTTCCGCCCTCTTTCTCCACTTGTTGTGACCGATAGTGACACATGACAGTCATGCCCTCTTGCGTTCAGATCCTCCTTCATGAATCAGATGTCCCAGTTCATGCAGTTCGTTCATCTTGTTCAGACCTCGGTGAACAAAATGAGTCAGTGAGCAAGAATGATTTGTTCGCTAGCATAATCTCTTGTTTCATTCTTACCTTTTGCCTTTTATTAGTGTCTGTGATGTCCTCCGATCTGCAGGCCGTGGGCTGGCGTGTGGAAGTGATCAGTGTAAACAAAGCCAGTGTATAGAGGACTCTGGCAGCGGTGGACATTTGCACACACACAGTCCATTAATCATCAGATAACTCCTGCTAGCTGTCCAACCATGTCTTTCACATCCAAAGATTCTTGTTCCTTTGGCTTTTCTTCATTTCGCCCCTATCCACAACATCTAAAATTGCTTCACAGCTGCTCTTGGGATGGGAGGAAAAAACATTTTCAGACACCGTGTTTACATTGCTCTTCTCGCAAAGTGCCTGCGGGACAGACAGACGTGTAATGGAGCGTTCCACCGAGTAGAAACGCCGGACAACAAGTCAAATAACCGGGTGTGAGAGAATCTTGGCCACGTTCCTTTTCCTGTCAGTTTGTTTGCCATGTCTCTACGAAATGTTTTCAGGCCTTTCACAATTATGCTAACACAATCCAAACTCTCCTGGACTACTGTCAGATGTGAGACACTTAGTCCGGCATGAATTTTTGTTTTAGTAAGGACAAATGCTAACGTAGCGAAAACCCGAGAGTGTTGACAGAGCATCTCACTTTTATCGCTGTTTGACAGTGTCTGTCAGGCTTTAATATCGAACCCTCTGCGTTTCTTCTCCTTCATGACCTTCTTGTTTTGTAGGAACTGTCTATGTTGGCATTTGAGACTGTAAGCAATGGTGCAGGGTTCACGTCTCTGGTTAAATATGACCCCAGCTTTGTTTTCCTATAAAAGGATTCATGTTTTTGTCTAATTTAAGATGACTGCTTGTATTTGAGCACGAGCTAGAAGTCAGCTCTGGTCAACTTTTCACATTCATTTTGCTAGGTATCGGCTAAATTGCTGTGAAGCTAAAGAGTTTGAGCGAGCGGCAGAACTCTTGGCTGCGGTGTGTAACCCAACAAAAATATCAAACGACAGCGTTAACCTCTTCCAAAACCTGGTTCTGGAAACACATGGAGAATGTGGCTTAGCTCCATTTAGTCCAAACAAGAAACAGGTTTTTATAGGATTTGGGTTGAAATTCAAGGCGTTTCGAGCGTATTGCGAGCCCCGCATCACCAGACCAGTGTTGGTCAGTTGAGAATATTGGATTGGCCATTTTTCAAGGGATTCATGTGTGGAAACAATGAATCAATCAATCTCACCGAGGTTGGAAGCGGGTAAACCTCTCGTTCTTAGCATCCCACGCGTTTTAGAGTTATCGGAAAAGGTGGCTGCCTCTTACAGGTGTTTGCCAAGAGTGCCAGAGTTCAGTAATATTGCATTACCAAAACCTCATGCATAGAAACAAACTCTTTTTAGAGCCTATTAATTGGTTTGTGGATGTAGCATAATGAGTCTTTCTGTTCTGCCATGCAACTTGTTTTTGTATGTATCATTCTGTGTGCCTTAAAATGTTTTTTTTTATTTATTCACTGTTAATATTGCTAGTTCTGATGCTTAAACATTTTTTCAACAACCCCTAAACCCAAGTAATACGTTTACCCAGCTAAAAAAAAGTTTAGTTTTGCTAATGTTCCCACTAGGTTATGAAAATGTTCTCTCAACATTCAAAACATCCATGTTTTAAAAACTTTTTTGGTTGTTGTTGGTTATGAATGTTTAGGAAACACTCCATTTCATACTTTTGCAAACATTATAGAAGCATTAGTTTGGAATGTTTTAAAACAAGTAGTAACATTTAAAAAGAATCCAACTGAAACATTTAAGAAAAAAAACATTCCATGAATGATAAATAAACATTTATTTATTTATTTATTTTGTGCAAACGTTTTGAGAACATTATTAAAGACCCAGGGGCTGGATTCATGAAACATTCATAAGAAGAAATTTCTTCTTAACTGCCATTTTCTTCTTATTTTCTAACTTAAGAAAAACGTTAAGAATATTTTGTATTCCCAAAAATTCTTAATGATTTTCTTTTTTTTTTTCCTTAAGATTGTTCTTAAAACTTGAAAATAATCTTCTTAAAAATCATCGTCAATAACTCTTTAAAGTTAGGATAACCTCAGTATTGTTTTAAATTCCAAATGGAAAGAAAAATTTAAAGAATTTGAGTTTTCAAATTAATTGTTATATTTAGGCATTACAACAACACTAGCTACATGTAATACAGGACTATTAATAGGGATGTGCACAAGTGTTGGCTGATAATGTAAACAATGATCAGTCATGATTATGTCTGACACGACTTCTTACTGAGTTCAAAATTCAGTAACAACTCTTATAACAAAATAAAAAAAAAGTTAGGAAGTTCATTTTTAATTTTAGCATATAAATAGGACATAATGTATTCAGCGCATATAAACTCGCCCATACGCATGACACGTTTACTGTGACAGCACACACACACATACAGGATGCGTTCAGTAGAGACTGAGCCAAAAAAGGCCACGCACATATGAATGAAACATTCCCAGTGCTGGGGGGGCAACTCATTACATATATTCTGGATGATGTAATCAGATTCCAAAAATGAAGTACTTGTAATTAGATTATATTTTAAAATACTTGTAATTAGACTAGAGTTACTAATTTTTTGATTACATGATTACGTTTTATTCACACAATAGCAATACATTTGTCATAATTTATTGATTCTCCTTAATTCTTCTTTTTCATCTTCTAAATTTTCCCTCCTAAAATAGTCTACCACTTGCATATGTTCAGAAAGTTTTGTGGACATTCACTAGTCGGCTGACTATAATAATACAGAAAACTGAGAGGCCACCCATCATTTGACCACTGGATTTACAAAAATCATAAAATGTGTGGCTTAAACTTAAAACGCCAAAAGTAAAAGTAACTAACTGTAGTTTAGCAATCGCGTAGTTGTCATATCGAAGCAGAAATAAAACGATTATTAAGATCAGAACTCATCGTAGCTCTGAGGTCACTCGGGTCGCATTTGTTTTTGGAAGTTGTGGGAACAAGGCAAAAAAATGCTTTTAATGAATTTCAAGAATATTGAGGCTGTAATTCCAGCCCAGTGCTTGAAGAGCAATGCAACATCTTGTCAGAACGGCTCATTTATCCAGACTCACTGGATAAATGCTTGTCCGCAGCATGAGGCTTCTGAAGGCTTCTTTATTGATTTATTAATGCTGTAACTGTGGGGGCTCAGGAGACGATTGGCCGCAGTTATCAAGGCAGTTATTCCACCATTCTTTGGTCTGAGAAACGTTACGGCTGCAATCCGAAGAATGTGGGAAGTAAGTGTTTGGATGCCGGCAGAATGCCGGTCAGGATTTTGCAGCGACCGCAGATTGATGATATTAATGTACTCGTCAGATAAATAAATTCAAATGCGCATCACTCAAAATACAATATCTCCTGGGCTTCCCTGCTTGTATTGAGCAGAACCCGTTGCAAACCGCATGAGGAGCGGCTCGGAGAGGAAACTTTGACTCCAGAAGGTGTTGAGTTTTCCTGTTAATGGGAAATACATGCAGCTGCAGCGGTTCAAGTGTCTGCTGCGCGACTAAAGCTGTTCATTATGAAAGCTCTCAGTGTAGATTACTGAATAACGCGCCTCTCATTTGCATGCAGGTCACACAACACCTCTGTGCTGACGTCAGTTGGGTCACTTGGCTCCTAAACCTGTCCTGATTGGTCCAGTGGGTCATTTCCTGTCCAGCCTTGTTCGCTCTCACTGTGATTGAATTTAGGTTATCTTTGAGGCTGCTTTCTGATGTCGTTTACAGGGTGTGAGTGACAGCTGTCGTCATGTGCAATGAGGTAAATGATACAAGTTTTAAGAATGATCTTTTCTTTCTCAATAGAAATAATTTTTTTTTAAAAACTATTGTTCATATAGAAAATTATCATTGTAATATGTCTGGATGATTTATTTACTTTTTTGGGGCATTTTTAAAATGAATTCTAAATGGATTTTTATTTAAATTATATATATATATATATATATATGTATATATAAAACATCTAAAATGGTCACAAACTGTAGCATAACTCATTTTGTGCAAACAAATGGGATATATCACACATGATGTGATGAATTAGCATAACAGAACAAATGACTCATGCACATGTGATAGTACTAACTCAAGCCAGAGATGCTTTGTTCATCCTTTCCCATTGTTTTTGTCTCACTTCCACCCAGCAATCCCATCATCCACGAGGCCTTTCAGTGCGGCTCCCATTAAACCCCACGGGTAAATGACGGACGTGTTCATTCCGTTCCTCCAATCAGCTTTGAGAGAATGCCAAATCCATCTGCACTGTTGCCCTTTCACTCCCCAAAGACTCCCTGTGACCTCGTGACATCTTCACTGTTATTTTCAGTGGATTATAAAGCAAATAGTTCTGCTCCTGGATGCTGATTGGTTAATTCAACAGTACAGCTGTGCTAAAATATATTTAAATTAAAATGAAATAACATAAGAAAAAATGTAAACATAATGTCAATACTACTTTATACATTTTTTTTTTGTATTTTTTTTTTACATTTATATATTTGTGTCAGTGCCTTTTTGTACCTTTGTGTATATTTATTTTTATTTTTGTGCCTTTGTTTTCTCATATATACATTTTTTTTTTTTATGTACCTTTTTTTAATGTATGTATTTTTATATAGTTATTTTTTCATTTATTTATTTGTCAGTGATTATTTTGCTAATTATTTTATCTCTCTCTTTCTATAATTTTTATTATTTTTTCATTTATTTATTTTGTCAGTGGTTTTTTTGTACCTTTATATATTTTGAATTATAAAAATATTTTTATTTTTAAATATTTTTTCATAGATTTTTTAAATTTGTGTCGATGCCTTTTTGTCCCTTTATATATTTTCTTTTTTATTCGTGTGTGTGCGTGTGTGCGTGTGTGCGTATATGTGTACAAAAGCCAATAAAATTAAAAATTTAATTTTTAAATAAAAAAAATTACTTAACGTTTAAATTAACAATTAAACTTAAAAATATATATCTTTTTTCTTTTCAACTGTTTTATTTGTCAGTGACTTTTGGAACTTTTATATATTTGTTTTATTTATTCATATTTATATCATTCATTATTTTAAGGATTATATTTGTAACATATTTATCTAGTTCCAGACAAAGATTGAGTAATTGTTTAAAGCTTTTGAAGTCTTTGGACACGAGTGTTCCGCAGCTGTTGCTCATTTTCCCATGATGTTCTTGTGATGGGAGCACATGTGGTGAATCGGTGACGTGTGCTCTAACAGTGGCCTGCTCTGATGTCATAACCCCAGATTGTGTTTGTCTCAGGGCCATGTGATGGACAGCAGGCCAGAGCCCTCAGCTGCAAGCTTGTGAGTGTGTGCGAGGTGGCGTGACACGGATTGGGTACAAATATAGCCGAGCTCTTTTGATAATGAAGAGATGTACGTGAGCGTTTTTGTCCCCTGAGAGCAGACGCTCCCCAGAGACGGGCCGCGCATTATGAAACGCATCATCCTCTTGTAGTTTGGCAGCCTGTTTGTGGAGGCCACATCAAAAACTCGGCCGAGTTCAGCGCTTCAGTCATGACACAGAATTCCTTTCGCTTGTTTCGTTTTTTTCCTTCTGCACTTCAAACATGCTGGACTTCATGATGCATTAACGAAACGCTGAGAGGAACCCAAGAAATATTGAGTCTCTTTCAAAAATGATTGCTTTTACTATAGGGATGTGAGTGTCTTTGTCGGTGTTTATAGAATATAATTCAAAGGTTTGGTGTCTATATATATTTTTAAAGAAATTGATGCTTTTATTCAGCAAAGATGCTATATATTGATAAAAAAAATGTAGCATGGTTTCCCCCAAAATATGAAGCAGCACAGCTGTTTTCAACATTGATAGTAATAAAATGTTTCTTGAGCAGCAAATCAGCATATTAGAATGATTTCTGAAGGATCATGTGACACTGAAGACTGGAGTAATGATGCTGAAAATTCAGATATGATCACAGGAATAAATTACATTTTCCAACATATCAAAACAGAAAACAGGTATTTTAAGTTGCAATAATATTTCTGAATTTTACTGTATTTTTTATTAAATAAATGCAGCCTTGGTGAGCAGAAGAGATGTAATCTGACCCCAAACCTTTTTCTAGCAATTTTCTAGCAAATAAAAATGTTCTATACAAATATTCTGTTCTATATATGATGTGTATGTGTGTATGCATATATGTGAAGTAAAACTGTGAACCGATGAGATTTCACAATAATTATGACTCTAAATACAATCATTTTGATCTACTGCAATAATATATTACATTATAAAATAGCCTACTGCAATGCAATATTTTATTTATTTGATTGTTTTGCATTATGCTAAAGAGATTTTGCTAGAAATGTGCGAAATGTATTTATTTTTATTTATATAATAAATGTTTAATGAATAAAAACTCATATAAAATATAATTAAAAAATACAATTTAAAAAATTCTTTTAAAATGTAAATGTTAAATTTAGTTTGAAAACTTGTAATTATATATTGTGTATTATAATATAATGTGTTTTCTTCGTTTAAAATTAATTGTATTATTTCTCTCTTTAGGTGTAGATAAGCAGCACAATGCAACAATAATTGTAACTGGCAAAATGTCTTGTTGCACAACATTTCTCATCGTCAGGATAAAAACTCAGATTAAGATGACAATTTATCGCTTTTACGACATGTTTTCAGGGTGTGTGCTTTCAAACAATATAAAAAAAAGTTATACGCCATACAAACACCCTAATAATACCACTAGCTGGTGACTTTAATAAAACACGGCTAAAAACATTGTTCTGTACTGAATAACCTCGCTCCAATAAAATCCTAACGTCATATTTTGCAAGCAGGGCAGCGGGTTCACGCAGGCCGAGTTGGCGAAGAGTTCGGCTCTAATACCGGCGAGTGGCTGTTCAATCGCTTCCATCAAAAATCTCGGATATATTCGTCTTGTCATCTCTCGCCGTGCCGTGCGTAAAGCACACTCACCACACAGGAAACTGCAAAACATGCATCTAATTACAGACAGTGAGCCGCTTCACTCCACTCCCATTTATGGCCACGCTTAACCTCAACCAGCCAATTCTTTGCATTATTAACGTTAGTAAGAGATGACAATGAAAAGTGTGAATTTGCACAGCCGCGGTCGCTCCTGCAGTGCTGTGTGTTTATGAGTGCATTAAACACGGTGACCGCAGATAAACAAAGTTTTCTTGCAGTCGGATTTAACTTTTAGATCAAGATTTTGTGCTTGGGTTCCTTTCAGTTATTGCATGCACATGCTGCGTCCGAGGCCACACTTTACAGCTCTCTTGAGTATGGCAAGCCATTTTAACATTGTCTATAAAATGTACTACTAGGCCTGTCTATTTTCTTTTTTTTTGGCTGCTGTTATTTATTATATTAGGTACTAGTACTATTTGTTGGCTACTAGTGCTTATTCTTTAGGTACTAGTACTTATTCATTACATACTAGTTCTTATTTATTACATGCTGGTACTCATTCATTAGATACTCCTACCTATTAAGACACTAGACACTAGAATGTAGGCTATTAAGTACATCGATACTAGTACTTATTATTAGATGTTAGTACTTATTCATTAGAAGCTAGTTATTATTAGATATGTGTACTTATTCATTCGATACAAATACTTATTATTTTGGTACTTGTACTTAGTAAATAGATGCTACTTATTTATTAGACATTAGTACTTTTTTCAATAGATACTAGTAACTATTCAGTTGTTACTAGTAACACATTTAAATTTTTTGCAATTGATGTCATTCAAACATCAACTAGTCAGTCAGTTCTGACTAGTATGTATCCAATTATGATTAGTAAACATTTTGGTAACACTTTATTTAATGGTGTCCTTGTTACACGTTACGTACTTATTATTATAATAACAATAAATTATGCATAATTACATGCAAGTAATCCTAAGCCTAACCATATGGTAAGTACATGTTGTAACGGGGCTGACAAGACGTGAGACGTGCGGATCCATATGCAAGCTTTATTCAGCAGAGAGGTCAGAAACACAGGCAGGGTCGAACAAATGGCAAACAGGTATATGGCGGGCAAGACACAAGAATAATCCTAGGGCTAGCGAAGGTCGACGAACGGCGAACAGAATCAGTGCAATGAATGATGGGATATGTAGTCCGGGGTGATATGCAACAGTGTGTAGTGCGAGAGTCAATGAAAATGGAAAGGGTGACCTCTGATGGCTAGCAGACGAAAGTTCATGGACCGGATACGTAACACGTAGTTAATTAATATTACTTCGTATTTAAATGTATAATTACACTGTAACAAGGACACCTTAAAATAAAGTGTAACCAACATTCTTTATATATAAATATGTATTCATTAAGAACCAGTACTTATTTTTTTAATAGTAGTACCTATTATTAGTTAGTAGTTCTTAATCATTACATACTAGTGCTTATTTATTGGATACTTGTATGTATTAAATGGATGCTAGTATTTATTACATATTATTTATTCATTGCTAGTTCTTATTTACTTATTCATTATAAGTAAATAATACCTATTAAAATACTAGACCATTAGTTACTAGTACTTATTGATTAGCTTCTAGTACTTATTCAATACATACATTATTGTATAGTAACTAGTACAGTATAATAAGATTTGTTACTAGTAACAATTACAACAGATTCTAGTGTCTAATAAATATGCACTAGTACCTAATAAATAACTATTTCATAATATATCTATTAAATGGGTACTCCTATCTAATTAAAATACTAGTACTTAATAAGTACTAGCATCTAATGAATACTTACCAGTACTTTTTAAAAATATAGTAGTCACTACTAAAATAAATACTAGTCAGTATGTCAACTGAACCGAATGACAGTTCCCCATAAAAGTCAGTCAAAAATGTAAAATGTCTTACTAGTGACAGTAGAATAGTTACTAGTCAACTAGTATTTAATAAATAAGAACTGGTGCTAATGAATATGTAGTATGTTTAAAAAGTTACTAGTAGCTCAGGAATAAGCACTAGTAGCTAATGAATAAGAACTAGTACTTAATGGAGTACATACTAGTATTTAACAAAATAAGTACTAGTAGCATTAAAATAGGTACTAGTATGGTGAATAGTGAGGCCTAAATGTTAAAATGGCTTGCCATACTCTATGCGTCCTATGGGAAGGTGTTGTGTAGATGTGAAGCAGGCAGCAGTGAAAACAAGAGCAGCGTTTGCACTCACAGCTGAGTTCAGTACAGCGATGCAGCAAACTGATGACTCCCAGATGTTTAATAAAGCCCCACTCTGTTTCTGTGCGCACACACATTTTCTCGACTGCATCCCCCCCTTGTGATTTCTTAAAAACAGGCATCACTAACCCGTCCACAAAAGCTG